GCCAGGTTAGTGTTACCATGGGGCCGAGTTCGCACTTGAACTCCTGTCTCCCAGCATGTGCCAGAGCAATCAGCTTTGTGTCCTGACGCCAGCCCTTGCATCACCGCCTGCAGGGGCCCCCACCCAGGGGTGCTGAGGAAGGTTTGGCTCCACACGGCTGGGCTCAGCTCCTAGCAGAGCCAGATCCCTAGAGCCTGAGAACAGTGTTTAGGGCCTGACAGCGTGGTCCCACCCCTAAGGAGCTCAGGCGAGCTGCCTGCCTGCCTGCCTGCCTGCCAAGATACTTAGTTGCTGACTTCCCTTGGAAAGCACTAATTACAGCGTGGCTCCCGCAGGCCCTGGCTTGGTGATCATCACAGCCCCTCAGCCTTGGGGCACTGGCTGCAGTCTCTGAGCCTCTGCTGGTGCCCCTCTGCTTTCCCCTGGGCAGGGAGCACAGGGAACAGAGGGGTAGGCAGACCCCACCCACAGGAAAGCTGGAACTGGGCTCTGAAACATTCCTGTGGGTATATTCAGTGGCCCCAGGACTGTAGCATCAGAACCACCTGGAACCTTGTTAAAATGCAAATTCTCAGGCCTTACCTAAGTCCCCAGAGCCTCTGGGGGCGGGACCCTGGGATTCCAGCATTAACAGTCCCTCCAATGACGATAACACTGCTCAGTGGGAAAACCACCGCTCTACGGTGCAAAGGCAGGGTATTATAAGTGGGGCGCTTTGATGCACAGGCTCAGAGAGACTCCTCAAGTCCAGGCTCTGCTGATTTCTTGCCCCTCCATCTTGGGCCGCTCCCTTTTTTAACGGAAACATATTTATTGACAATCTACTCTTTACTTTTGAAGGCCCCTGGGCTTCAGTCCTGGGAGAGAACAACAGCCACCAGCAACATATTTTCCTCTATTAACATGGCCCTTGCAAGAGACCTTGTTAGGTATGCTGCCGTTACTTGCCAGTCTGGGCAACTGAGGCACTGTCTGGGCAGCGCTGGTGTCTGACCAAAGGATGTACTTCAGCCGGGCCCTGGACCACCGTGGGCTGGTCCCGTAGCACCGTGGCTACTCGAGGAAATGGACAAAATGTAATCAAGAGCCCCAACACTGGCACGTCCTGAGGCACACTGGGAAGACAAAATAAAGTTAGGAAGGGGCAGTGTGCTCTGGGGGTGTGGAGAGGTGACTATTTCAACAGGGTGGGCTGACAAGGTGACCTGTGAGCAGAGCCCTCTCTAAGGCTGTGTCTGTGTGTAAAACAAAGGCACTCTTGGTTCCTCTCCTAGCTGCAGTCTGAATATGTCACAAGCACCTGCCCGTAAAGCAGAGTAGCCATGGAACCGATAGGCACTGCTATTATCTGAGGACCTGAGTTCGAATCCTACACTGGCTCAGCCGCTCGCTAGCTGTGGGTTCCGGGCACGTCACTCCATCCCCCTGAGATTCTGTTTCTGCAGCTATAAAATGGCTGCCGGGAGCCTTGGCCTCCCCACATCCAGGTTGGGGAGCAGAGCAGATGCCCACTATGGACACCCCCACCGCCTGCTCCCTCCCCCCCTCCGCCTGCTCGCTCCCCCCCCCGGCCTCCCCCCCCCACGCCACCTCAGCTTACTCACCAGCTCCTCAGAGCGCCTCTCTGCGGCAGTTGATGCCCTGGTCCAGGCTGCCCAGGAGTCCTCACTATTTTTATTTTTATTGTTCTGGCTCCATAGCTGAGGCCTCTAACTCCACATGGCTTCTCCTGCCCAGAAAACTAGGCAGTTGGCAACTCCAGCCCCCTGACAAAGGCAGCCTGGCGGGCCTGCCCGCGGACGCCAGCCCAGGGTTCTGGGAAGTGAGGAGCAGAGCCCAGGCAGGGCCGCTGCCCCACGGAGCTGGGTCCCTGCAGGCCCGGGCAGAGCGACCCTGGCCCACTTACTCTCTGTCTTCGGGGACACAGTGGAGTTGCTGGACCTTCCGTGAGACTACGCACACCAAGGGACCTCGCACACCCAGGGTGCCCCCCGCCACCCGCAGCAGCACATTCCAGATTTGCTCCCCCCAAGGCTGCCTTCACGTCCATGCCCCCATGGTCAGGGTCAGCCAGGGTTACTCCTATTTCACAGATGAAGAGACTGAGGCTCACAAAATCCATTGCCCTGAGTCACCTAAGTCAAATTGGCAGCATCGTGGCTTCGAAGTCCCTGATCCCCACCTCTCCCCCCACCCATGCTCACTCAAGTCTTCTTTCTAGGGTACCCCGGACAACGGGAGAAGAATGACACCAGCCTTCCAGAACGGATGCCTCTGGCTTCTAAGTTGAGAGTCGATGGGAGACGGGGGAAGCCAAGGGTGGCAAGAAGCCGCCCAGGTGGGAGGTGCTCCGAAGCGGCTTGGTTCTGGATGGGACCGGATGGTGGAGCCGGGCATTGCTGACCGATGGCACACCGCGAGGGACAGAGAAGAGCAAAGCGAGGGCGGGGCTGCCTCTGGCTTCCCTCCTCGAATCTCCCAGTCTTCCCTCAAATCCACGTCGCCGGAGGCCTTCCCTGACCGGTCTCCTCTTGTGGGCACTCCTGGGACCCTTCCCTGCTTTACTTTCCCCTGCAGCCTCATCCCTGTCTTGTATACGGATTTATTTGCCCCTGCTAGACGGTCAGCTCCTTGCAGGCAGGGGCTTTTAATCTGTTTTTTTGTTTTGTCTTATTTTTTTGGTCCCCCCCCCATCTGCTGTATCCCCAAGCCTAGCACGGTGCCTGGCACATGATAGCTCTTAAGGAATATTGTTGGGTGCATGAATAAATGGTATATGTATGGAGGAAGTTCCGATTTTCATCCAGGGCAACCCGGAAGGCCACCTTTGGAGGTGGCGGTACACCTCAATGATCTGCCATAATTGCTCTGTGTGACCTCAGGCAAATTGTCCCCCAACCTCAGCATACCCAGCTGTCTATTGGTCTCAGTGACCTCCCAGCCCTGATGGTCAGTTGAGGGTGACTTTTTCTGTGGTCTGGGTCCGGAGAGCAAGGCCAGGCCCCCCTCCTGGAGCAGGAGGGGCATGAAAGGGGCCCCCATGTTGGGAAGGGCTGCTGGCCGTCTTTGCCAAGGTGCTATGTATAAATAGCAGGTGGTTCAATTATTATCCTTCCCTAATCCGCAGTTTCTTAATCCTGGGCAGGTCTGTGTGTGTGTCCTGGGGAACCGTGGGTGGCAGAGCCATCTGGAAGCCCAGGCCCAGACACTGCCTCACCTCTGACCTTCAGCATCAGCTCCTGCCCCACCTTGTACCCCAGATAGATTTGGGTGATGGATTTTCCCAAGAGCCTCAGCTGGCCACCTCCATGGTCTCTGCCAGATGTGGCCTGTGGAATTAGAGACTCTCTTCCCCCTACCCCAGATATGAGGAGGACCCAAAAAACAACCTCCTCACTGGTGTCCCCATTCTGTACTCCCCTCCGTCCAGCCCCACCGTCCACCCTCCACCAGACTGGCCTTTTAAAACACATATATGGGACCTTGGTGCTTCCCTGATGAGCACCCTCCTCCAGTGATTTTCTATCTGCAGAACAAATGCCAGCTTTTTACCAAGGTCGGCGAGGCTACCCAGCTGGACCACTCTCCCCCATCTTCGCTCTTTCCCTTCTAGCCAAGGTGGCCCCAGGGCCTTTATATATGCTGTTCCCTCTTCCTGGAACAGCAAATCCCCAAACCTTCACCTTGCTGCCCCATCTGGTGGTTCTCAGAGAGAGAGCCTTATCTGAGTGAGAATATCTCTACGCCCAATGTTCTGTTGTTCACAAAGTATTTCTACTAGTCTACCTATCTGTCTCCCCACTAGCATGTTAATTCTTTGTGGACAGGGACCTTGCACGGGTCATTGCTGTTCCTCCCACACCCAAAGAAAAGAAAATGCCCTTGCACTTCAAATACTGCTCGGAACCCTGTGGGCTCCCAAGGACGGTGGCCAAACCAGTTTCCTTACTCAAGTGCTATCTAGGACTTGGGACGTGCCAGACACTTTCTGAAGTACTGTACAGACACGAATGCATCTAATTCTCACACCGGCCTTGCCAGGTCCATCTTCATGTTAGCCTCACTGCCGATGAGGAAGCTGGGGCCCGGAGATGGTAGAGTACTGTCTCGGGTGCACACTGTCACCCCAGGTGGCTGGTGGGATTATAACCCCGGCAGCCTGGCCCATACCCTCAACAGGTGTACCCTGCCTGCCTCCCTGCCCTAGCACCACACCAGGACCGGACATTCGTCAGCGAGACTGGGGTCGGGGTAGGGCTAGGGCCGCTCTGCCAAGGTCTTTAGCTTGGGAATCGGGAATTAAAATCCTGTTTTTATCCCTGGCCTTTGGGAACACAGTTTTCCCTGGAGGAAAAAGAGACAGAGACAGAGAGTGGGAAAGAGTGGCTGCTTTTTCACTAGGCGGCTCTGTCCTCTGTCTCCAGGACGCTTGCTCCTCATCTTCCCCCCTGCCTGTCATTTTCCTGGAGTCCAGGCCTTCAAGCCCCATCTCTCCCCCACACCCCTGCCTGGGCCTTCCCCACCCGCTGAATGGGCCCCCTGCCTAACACAGAGGCACCTGGCTGAGGGAGCCTAGTGCCCTGGGCGGCCCGACCCATCCCCTCTGGGTTCTCGGCCACAGCCCCCCTTCTCGCTGCCTCTCCTCCCTGCTTCCCTGCGCCTCTTTTCTAGGCAGTACTGAAGTCCTTCCTACACACACGCTATTTTTGTACCATCACTCTCTCCTTCCTCTCCCCCTTCCCCCTACATTCACTTACTTCCTGCTTTTCCTTCACCTCGGCCCAGCTCTGAAAGAACCGGGCCCCTCGGGCGCGCGCCCCCCTCCCCAGAGGGGCCTTCAGCTTTAGGGCACAGGGGCAGGGCCTCTCGGGGAGGGGCAGAAGGCAGCACCCCCTCTCCGCCCTCCCCCCCTCCTCCATCCCCACTCCCGCGCCGCCTCCAGGCGCTCGCCAGCCGGCGGGAAGCGGGGACTAACCGCGGCCGGAGTCCGGAGGCGAGGGGAGGGAGGTCGGTCGCAACTTCCCCAGTCCACCTTAAGAGGACGATGTAGCCAGCTCGCGGCGCTGACCTTAGAAAAACAAGTTTGCGCAAAGTGGAGCGGGGGCCCCGGCCTCTGGGCAGCCCCGGCGGCGCTCCCGCTGCCTCCCAGCCGTCGCCGGCGGCGCAGGTCCGAGCTCGGCGGGCGGACGGGGCTGAGAGCGGGCCGGGGAGCGCGGAGGGCACCGCGCGGGCTCCCGAGCGGGCACGTTGTTGCAGCCGGCGGCCCGTCCGGTCCCAGGCGCTCGCGGGGCGCGCCGGCGGAGGGGATCGCGGGGCCGCTCCCCGGGCCCGGCGGGGCAGCTGGGGCCGCGGCGCGGTGGGGAGGGGGCGACGCGGCGCTCCTCCTCCTCCTCCTCCCCCCCCTCCTCCCTCCCCGGGCGCGCGGCTGGCGGGCGACGTGGGGCCGAACTGCCCGAGCCCCGCAGCCTCCCCGGGCGGGCGGGAAGGAGGGAGGCGGGGAGGGCGAGCGGGAGGGGGCCGGACTGCCGGGAGGGCGGGGGCAGCGGCCGGGACTGCGGGCCCAGAGCGAGCCGAGCCGAGCCGCCGGCGCCGCGAGGAGCCCGGGCGGGGCAGGTGGGCAGCGGCGGGGGCGGCGCGGCGGGGCTCGGCGGGGCCCGGAGGGCTGCCCCTCGCCCCTGCGCGCGCGGTCCTCTCCTCTCTCCCGCGCTGGCGGCCGCGATCGGCGCGCCGCCTCGCTCACTCCTCTCCCGCTCGCTCGCTCTCCCTCTCTCTCTTTCTCTCTCTCCCCCTCTCTCCGCTTCCCCGCTCCCCCTCTCTCGCCTCTCAGCGTCTCTGGCTCTCCGCCTGGCTCCCTCGGGTCTGTTTCTCTCTCCTGCCGCCTCTCCCTGGCCGTCCCTGGCTTTATTTCTCGCGCGCTTGGGGTCTCTCCCCCTCTCCGTCTCTCGATCTCTCGGGGGGAGGGGGGGTTTCTCCGAAAATCGCGGCGGCAACGGCGGCTCCTAAGCCGCTCCAGGCGCCTGTTCCGGGGAGGGGGGGGTGGGGGGAAGCCCGGCCGGGAGGGGAGGTGGGGGGGGGAGAAGAGGGGGGAGCCTTAGTCATTTCCCCGCTCCAGCCTGCGCCCGCCCGAGCGCGCACTCACGGCCGTTCTCCCTCCTCGCTCCGCAGCCGCGGCCCATGGAGCCCGCCCGCCCGGCCCCCGGCCGCCTCGGGCCGCTGCTCTGCCTGCTGCTCGCCACGTCCTGCGTCTGGACAGGTAAGCACCCTTGCCCCCCGCCGCTGCCGCCCGCGAACTGCGGGCCCAGGCCTGCCAGAGCGCCCCTGGAAGCCTCTGGGCTCATGTCCAGCGGTAGTCAGGGAAGATATATCTGTAAGCAGGGTTACAGATGCAGAAACTGAGGCCCAGAGAGGGCCAGCCACTTGCCCAAGGTCACACAGCCAGGGATAAAACCCACTCTCCCTGGACTCTGATTGTGCCTGCGTTGTGCTGGGCACTGGGACATAGCCAGATGAGTTGGTTCATCCAGCCCCTGCCCCATCTGATGGAGGAGGCAGGCCGTCAGCCGCTTTCAGAGCTAAGTGCCCCCTGGCTTCTCTAGAAGCTCTTTCCCTGGACTTAGGCTTTCCACATGTTTGACTTCAGGGTCTGAGAGAAGGGGGTCGGGTCGGAGGGGGGGTGTCCCCCAGGTACTGCCTGGGATGGCACAGAAACAGGCTGTTGCAATTAGGGAAGAGTGAGCTCTCCCTCTGGTGCGCAGAGTAATTCAGTGTTGGTGTATGTATGAGAGAGAGAGAGGAAGGGAGGCCGCAGTAACTCTGGGGTGAGCCTCTGTGATCAACAGATCCTGATGTGAAAGCTGGTGGATTGTCCTTGTGTTTGCCAAAGCCTCTCCTCTCCCCCACCTCTCCCCCCCCACCCCACCCCCACCTTCCCCAGGCTTCCAGGCAGCTCCCTGCAGTTCAGGTGCTCTGCGGGGCTGTTACCTGTGGCTCTGAGCATGTCTTTTTGTTGGCCTACATCAAACACCTGGCTGTCTCCAGCAGGCGGGCTCTGAAGGCTATCGTGTGTGTTCGCCAAGGGGTGAGGTCACCATTCAGGAGTCCTGCTTCTTAAAGGGGTTTTGAAAAACCCTGGGTCTCCTGGGAGGGCACAGGGGGTGGAGTATCGGCCCTAAAGGAGTTGGGGTTGGGGAGAAGAATGGGGATCTTGTTTTTTGGCTCCTAGAAGCTGTGTTGTAGGGAGAGGGGTCTGCACTAGCCTCCTGGAGGAGGGAGGTAAAGATGAGCTCAGTACCCATCTCCCCCCCCCCCCCCCCCCCCCCCCCCCCCCCCCCCCCCCCCGCCTTTTGCATTTGCCTAGAGACTGGTAACCATCTGATAGCAGTGAGGAAGGGAGAACTAGAAAGAGTGGGTGGAGGGAGAAGTGGGGGTGGACAGCAGCTTCTCTCTGCCCTGCAGTTTCCCCAAAACCCCAGGAATCCACACAGGCATCCCCGCACCCCACCCTGGGTCTTCCCGTTACATTTGGGCCCTGGCTGGGTGGAAAGAAGCACGGATACATTTCATGTCTGTCTGGTGAGTGGCATCTCCGATCTGCTCCTTCCTGCCGGAGCCAGCCATTTACACCCTGCAGAAACCCTAGTTCCTGCCCCGCGTCCTTGCCTGGCCTGGCCTGGAAATGCCCAAGTGTCTCTCGCAAGTGCTTCATTTTCCTGAGATGGGAAACTGGGCCCAAGTGAATTTATAAATGTCTCTTCCAGACCCTTCTTCAACCGGGACCCTGTGGTTCCGTTTCTGGCAAATGACCGGTGACGCTGATTAACAAGTGCCTGCCTTTCGTGGGGCGCTGGCTGCCAACACCAGCACCCTTCTCGTGAGCAGATCTCCCCTTTTTGCCTATAAAAACAATCTATAAAATGGTAAAGATTAGGCAATAAAACTTCCGTTCCAATCCATTCAGCATCAATAGCCTGAAAAAGTGGGAGCAGCCGAGGGGCCAAGATTAACTTTGAAATAAATAAATCTTAGGAGGTAAAAATACATTTCTTCTCTGAGGGCGCTGGGGAAGGGGTGGGGTGTAGCTGTCATCGCGGAAGCCTCCGTGCATTCTTTGCTCTGTGTCCTACGGGCTCCTGGTCACCCTCTGAGCCCTGGCACGGAGTCACCTGGTCTGCCTGAAGGATGGGGCCCCGGGCCCCTCCCTCGGCTTCTCCCAGCATGGAAGTTATGACACAGCAGAAGAGAGGCAGGACAGAAGGGCAGGAAGGTAGGAAGAAGGCAGTTGTCCAATTTTCCAAGAAAATAGATTTGTTCGAGTGAGAAACTCAAATGTCAGGCATAGGAAGGCGGCATTAGATTGAATGACTACTAGAGTCTTGGGCAGCACTGTCAGCCCGCGAGGTGTCACGTGATTTCTGGGGTTCCACATGATCACTGTTTGCAGGGGGCTGGTCATGTGAGTTATCTGGGTTGGGGAAGGCAGGAGAAGAAGTTTCTAAAGATTGCTTTTAGCGCAAGGGCTGCCAAAGGGAAATTCTAAAAAGATGCCAGTGAAGTCACCAACCTGTGTTCTTGGAGCCAACGTGAGGCTGTTTCCTGAAACAACCTCACGGAGGGAGATTTGGAGCCTGGGAACAGGGCAAGGGGCTCGGGGACAGCCAGGCAGCCTGACTTCACAGCAGCCCCTGGCCCAGAACCTTCAGGGTCCCTGCCTTGGGCCCCCCCCCCCAAGGTCACCGGACCTCCGAGCCCCCTCCCGGGGAGACCTGGGTGAGCTCCCTCTCACTCCTCACTCTGGCCTGGAGAAGGCCAGGCCAGGCTGGGGTTCAGGTGTTGGAGGACAGCTGGGCCCTCTGGTGACTTTCTGATTCCTTGGCAGAGGGGGACATCTTGGTGTCTCCTATGTACTTTCCTAAGTGGTGAAGTTAATCTCACTTCCTCTTTCAAAAACAGAGAGGGGGCGGCAGGCACTGTGGCCCCAATGGGCTCAGGCCGTTGGAAGTTTCTTCAAAGCCATGGTGTTCTCTGGGTACTTTCTGGCCATTAATGATTCCTTTACCTATTCCCTGGAGACCTCTGGTGTGACTCATTCCTGTACCCATCCTCACTCAGCACCTCTGAAGTCATGATTGGAGCCACGTGTTTGAGAGAAGGGAGGAGAACCCATGTTCTTTGAAAGTTAGCCGTGACCCAGACTGTGTGCTGAGTGCCTGTCTGCGCTGTCTTACCCATCAGCAAAGCCAAGCCCAGGGTGGCTGCTGGCCCCATTTTGCAGATGAGGAAAATCGAGTCCCAAACTGGAGAAGTGACTTGTCCAAGGAGTAAGCGGTAGGGAGCTGGGAGTGTGAGTCTAGTCCTCCGGGCTGAGTCAGCCTATGAGGGGAGAAGTTGACCAACTCCATCAGGGTGGCTTAGTCCAGGCTGGAGGGAGGGAGAGGAGCCCCCACTCTGGGCTTCAGTGGAGGTCTGTGAAGGGTTCCTTATGGGCCAGGCGTCCTTAACTGAGTCACGGTCACTTCTCAGAAGGCATGCTGAGCGTGGAAACACCCAGAGACAGGCCTTCGCAAGTGACAGCTCACGGGAGGGACATGGCTTGCACCAGAGCCCCCCATCTGGGCTGCTGCGCTCTGGAGCCCCCAAAGCTGGAGTCTTCCTCCTTACATTTTCCTGGTGCCCTTTGCGGCAGATGGAGAGGGGGTGTGTGAGAGGAAGGGAGTCTAAAACTGTTGTGTGCGGAGCCCACACACGCTCGCTTGCTGCTTTCAATGGCTCCGTGCGACAGGTTATTTTCTTATTTGTAGAGCCTTGGACTGATGGAAGGTTCTCCCCCACCCCCTCCGTCTTTTTCAAATGTGCTCAGATTTCGGGCCTGTCAACACAACGCAGATCATGTCACTCCCCGCCTTAAAACTGTTGAGTGGGTCCAAGTTTTCTCCAAAGAAAAAAAATGTTTGAAAGGAAAGAAGTGTGTGACAGTGCTGGGCTCCCTCCCTGACGGGCCTGATTTCTCAGCCACATGTTTTCCAAAGCGCTGACCCCAGAGACTGCATGGGAGTCACGCTCCGTCCCTGCAGACCGCAGCTTTCCTGGCCACCCAAGCACGTTAGCACCTAAGACCTGAGGAGTTGTAGATTCCCAAGTTGGACCCTGTTTACTCCAGCGTTCCCCAAACATATGAACACGAGGCGGTTGGCTTGTGTACCGCTCGTTAACATGCGGCCGCACCCAGTTCGGGGAAATGCTTTCCTACACATCCATGCCCTCAGCTAAACTCGCTCGTCTCCGCGCCTTTGCTTACGCTGTTCCCGCCATCAGAGATGCCCTTCCCTGTACCTCCTGATCTTCCTATGTCCAAATCCGATTCCTCCCTCAGTCTGTGCTGGCCTCATGATCCACGGGAGCTCCTCCTTCTCTGAACCTCAACTCCCTCACCCCCCCCCCCCAGATTCTATCTGTCCCTAATGGAGGCTACTTGTTGCTTTCTCCTTGTTTTAGCGCCTCCTGCATACGGGGGTTAACACTTGCATGGCATGGTGGTTCTGCGTCGGTAGCAAGCAGAGGCTGGTGCTCAGTCGCGGGCTTGGAGCCAGAGCCCTGGGTGTGAATCCCAGATCCACCGCATCCTGGGCAATTTACTGCCGTCTATGGCTCCGTTCCCGCATCCGTAAAACAGAAATGATGTCCTCAGCTCTGTCTCAAGGGTTAAGTCAGTCCGTGCACGGCTAATGCTTGAAGCTGTGCGTGGCGTGTAGGGAGCGCTCAGCGTATGGGAGCCAGCCTCGTGGCCATCATGGTTGTGTTCTGCGTGGATTTCCTCACCTACAAAAGCGGGACTAACTTTTGCAAAGTACCTAGCTTCTTGCACACGGTGGGTGCAGAAAACAAAAGCTTTCACGGGGGGCGAATGCCGTTCAGTCTGGGGTTGGCTTTTTTTATTTTTTTTCCTGCAGCTTTTGTGCCGTCGGGGGAATGGACAACTTGAGCAGAAACCCAGGCGAGTGTGATTTAATTGTCTGTTTCTGGGATTGAGGCTGTGTGGCCGCAGGCTGCCTCTAGGTGTCTCTGTCTGGATCCACAGGTTTGGAATTGTGCATTTCCAGATCCGGACAGCCACGGGAAGCCTGGGGAAGTGGTTAGTGGCCTCACTGAGCGCCTCGCTCTGCGGCCCAGAGTGAGCAGGACTTGTGGGCTCACACAGCAGATCCACCGCTAGGCCTGGGTGGGACGCCAAGCGCCCTGTGATCCAGGCCAAGGCTT